TTCCAACGAGAACTCTAGAGCTAACTAATTCTACAAGTTTTTTTTTTTATATCTTTCCTTTTGCCGATATTATTTGTTGGCCTAGCTATAATGGAATTATACCTTCAAGCAGTATCTTATTCACTGTTTCTCTAATCCTTTCTATAAGAAATTGCACCCACCCAGGTACAGGACACTTTTATCCGTCCCTCCGATCTTTTCATAGCTATCCAGCCACTCCCCAGACCAACCCACCACCATCCGGCACTCTGCTGCCCTCAAATCAGGCACAGTGACAGGTGGTACTGTGGCAGGGTGACAGGGATGTCACTTTTTATTTTTTTTTACTCCTATTTTATTTATTTTTAAAATATGTTTTATTGACTTCAGAGAGAAAGAGAGAGGGAGAGAGAGATAGACACATCAATGATGAGAGAGAATCATTGATCGGCTGCCTCCTGCACACCCCCTACTGGGGATCGAGCCCGCAACCCTGGCACGTGCCCTTGACCAGAATGGAACCCTTCAGTCCACAGGCCAGTGCTCTATCCACTGAGCCAAACCAGCCAGGGTGCGATGTCACATTTCTTACCCTTAAGAAACCCAAAAACTAAAGAGGTGGGCGGAGAAGATTATTCACTTAGCAGGTTATTATAATTCAATGCTGGTAGCAGTGGCACTGGGTATAAGAGAACCCAGAATTGGAATTCCAACCATCTTTGAGGTGGTTGATCAGAGATGGCTTCCAGAGGAGGTGACATCAGGGTTGGCTATAAAGTATGGATGGGAGTTAGAGATGGTAGGAAGGGCATCCCGAAGAGAACATCATAAAGAGCCACCCAAAAAAATCAGGTGAAAATTGCAAAAGTATGTAGAACCAAGGAGTTGGAACATAAAGTATGAGGCAACAAGTAAAAAGAAATGAGGGTAGAGAGATGGGTGGGGAAGTGGGAGGGAGTCCGGTCGCAGAGGTCATGCCATATGAAGAGCTCAACCTGACTCAAGGTAATGAGGAGCCACTGTAAACTTTAAACAAGGGAACAACGGGTGTTCTACTAGCCCAGTGGTTCTCAGCCTTCCTAATGCCTCGACCCTTTAATACAGTTCCTCATGTTGTGGTGACCCCCAATTTCATTGTTACAAATTGAACATAATTAAAGCATAGTGATTAATCACAAAAACAATATGTAATTATATATGTGTTTTCCGATGGTCTTAGGCGACCCCTGTGAAAGGGTCGTTCGACCCCCAAAGGGGTCGCAACCCACAGGTTGAGAACTGCTGTACTAGCTGGTTTGAGAGCTCACCATTGTTGGACTCTGGGAAGCAAAGGTTCCTGGTGCCTTTGTCCCACAAGATTCCTAGGACTTTGATAGAAAATCCTTCAAAATAAGACAAAAGTTGAGTTTTTAAAATCAGCTCCCTAAGTGTTTGCTTATGATCTATTTAAATGAAACCACATCTTGTGGTATTTTGTTCTCACAGACAACAGAGTGTTTAAAATAAGGGCAAAAAAAAAAATACTAGTAAGATAAGGACCATTTTCTTTTTCTGTGTATTTCTGTGGTGAACTTTTAAAAAGTATGTGTACTATTTTCCACACATATTTAATTAGTTTTATTATCTACAAACTTAATAAAACTTCTCTGGAAGAAAGCTATAATATTAGTCACTAATGGAGTGCAAAATTTAAAAATTTTGAACTTTGTGAACATATTTTCTGGTGTGTTTGTTTTTTTAAAGCTAACTTTTTAAATTGTTTTAAAAATAGGGGCAGATAGCCCTGGCCAGATAGCTCAGATGGTTAAAGCATCGTCCCGATATACCAAGGTTTCAGGTTCAATCCCCGGCCAGGGCACATACAAGAGTCAACCAATGAATGCATAAGTAAGTGGAACAACAAATTGATGTTTCTCTCTCTCTGTCAAATCAGTCAATAATTTTTTTTAAAAAAAACATATATAGGGACAGATATTCAGGGGGAAAAAGTATTTTTTGAGGGGTTAAAGTGGAGAAAAATTAGTCCAATATACTAAAATCATACTGAATTTAGCCCATTGTACTAAACAGGCACTAAATTTCATGCTCAACCATTCAAATCCTGAAACTAAAATTCCATGAGTCATGTCTGTCTGCTTACAGAGGCATCCTCAATACACAGAATAATGCTTGGTACCACGAAAGGCTAAATAAGCACTTGTTGACTGCTGACAATGTAAATGTCAAAATATTCTATTCTTTTTTGAAGACTTCTTTCCTATACTGTGTGAAGACAAATCCTCAATGCTCTTCACAGCCTGTTCCAGATGGGACTCAGGAAGCTGGCACAGAAGCCAGGGTAGGGTGTGGTGACCAATTCCAGCAAGAACAGCCCTCCCGTGACTCAAGCTAGCACAGTGGCCCATTAAGCCTCAGCATACTGTCTTTCAACACACACACACACACCCTGCTAACCTTATTTCCAGCTTAAGTGGTGAGGTGGAGCTTCCTTCCGCTGCCCTCCCACCCTTCTTCTCCTCTCTCCTCTCTGTGATTCCGCAGGGACTTTGCTTTAGATATATAGGAAAGAATAAGCAATCATTCCTTCCTTTCCCGCTGCAAGAGGAACAGTTTAAACCTCCGGCCTCCGGCCACACAAATCCAGGACCAGATCCCCACCGTGCCTTAAACAAGCTGTGTGAAGATGAGCACAGTGCTCAGGCTCTCTACGTCTCTTTTTCTTCATCCGTATATGAGCATAACAATGATTTTTTCTTATAATTAAAAGAAATGATGTAGAACATCACATATCTGGCACAAACTGTATCAATGAAAACAGTATTAGATGCCACATATAATATTTTCATGTGTTAGAACTAATCAACAATAAGGATGAACACTCACTGCCCTGTGGTAAATGTTGGTTCCCCCCTCCCCAGTCTTCCTGGTTTGACAACTTAGTATCTCTGAAAATAAACTGCTCAGAGGATAGCATATGTCTGTGTGTTGGGGTCCAGCCCCATTTGCTGGAAGCCGATCCACCCTTGCTGCTTGACGCAGTCGCTGCAGGGAAGAAACATCTGCACAGCGTATGTTTCAAGGGACCTGGCGTATATGACATATGTTTGCTCCCCCTTTTAAGCGCTATGTGTTTTAACCAGGACCACCTCCCCGAGAAAGGTTGTTTCCCCAGGTTAGGGGTTAACAGGACTAAGGAAGAGAATAAATCAGTAAATCCCCCTAGTGTTACAGAAATACCATGTACTACTTATGAAGAACTTGGACTAAGACTGTTGGCAATAAATTTGGGACTTGTTGGGCCCACATCCCCAGGGGTTTGCCCACCAGGGAAAGCACCAAAGCCTATACCCCTGGAGACTCACTGACACAGGGCAGTCCCAGGGAAGGCAAGCAGCGGGGCTGGGAGGACATAACCTTTACTGGGTAGGATAAACTCCTTCAGTCACTTCCTTGTAGCCTATCAGTAGAGCAGTAGAATAGTGACCTTGGAATAGCCCTTATAATGGAACACAGAGATTAACCTAGACAAGATTAAAATCAACAGAACTAGATAGAGACAGGATTATGGAAATGAAAGTAGGAACTGTAGAAGGTTTCCCAAAACATACCATGATGTAATTATAGAGGCATGATTATGGGATCAAATAGTATAAATATAGATGTAATAGAACAATAGAGAACCCAACCATGCTGATCAACTGAACGCTGCCCCTCCCCCTCCCCCGTCTCCGACTCCGTCCACACCTATGGGAACCCCTGGACCTGCTGGGGCTGGACCCCAACATCTGTGTCCCCAGACATCTTGCTGGACCTTTTTCTGCTTCTTTCTCTGAGCAGATTTCTATGCCCAACCACTCTTGCTTAGCTTTTAGGAATGTTGAGTTCCTGGGAAATGACTGCTGTGAGTGTACTTTCAGATGTGAGCATAGTTTCAAACAGCACTCAATGCCCCAACAATAACAATACCACATGCAAGATCAGGAAGTTATTCCAAGCATGACAAGCGTAGGGCCACCCTCACACAGGGCTGGCTGGAAACTACTGTGTTGGGACATCACTGGGAAAAGGAATGCAGGTCACACAGGTAATCCCAGAAAACATATGGGAAACAGAACTGTGAAAAGAAATCCAGTCCTTAATCAAAGAACGAGTTTGATGCTGGTGGCGTTTTTTTGTTTGTTTGTTTTTTTGCCTCCAGTTGCCTAGCATACATTGGACCCCTTTCCGAATGATCAAACACAACAGAAAAGACTTCACAGCACATAAACACAAGAGGCTGCAAACTGGAATTTACAATAAAAATCTGTGACTTAAAAATTAGGAATTTACCTTTGATTAACTCCAGCTAGAATCTCTCTGTATGTTTCATCTCCTGGGGAAGAGCCTCACTCAAGGGGCCAAAGAGCCGTATGTGGCTCGCGAGCTGCAGTTTGCCGGCCACTGTTCTAGGCAATATAATACCAGACTAGATTTATTAAACCAAATCAGTCGAGACCAGGGTATTTGTCCAGGTCTTAGACTAGAGACATTTAAGCTGGAGTGATAATTTGTGAACTATCCAAAGAGAATTCAAAGATTCTGAAAACAACCCCATGAACTTTGAGCAATGACTTTGAGCATCAATGTAATACTGTATAACATCCTATTTCAACTCCTAAGTTCTAGAATGCTTATGGAAAATACCAATCTCATGATGCTAGAGCTGTGCTTATGGAGGACTATGAAAAGCATCCATTCAAAGACTGAGCTGAACGTTGGCAACTGTGGGGATACATCATCAAAGGTGGTTTGCCAGAGCTCCTGTAGCTCAGCATATGTCTTAGATCACCATATTGCACGTGGTTGTAAGACAACAGAGCTGGCACTAAAATGTCACTAAAAACCAACTAGATGAATAGCTTTTTAAGCATTTAATCTTTTTTTCTCAAATAATTTCAAATGAGTCAGTTCTCTAGAGGAGTTGAATGGCAGCAAACTCAATCTATGAATAAGAACAAATGGTAATGGAAATCGGTACCTACTTGGAATCCTATTAAGCGTCACCCAGAAATGTTCATCAGGGCTATACGTATCCTTTGACCAGTGCAGTAGATCGATGGCCCTTTTGTCATGGAAGATGAAGTTGACAAACTCCCTGGTAAGGGCCACGTAGGCAGTGCCAAAGTAAATGGTCAGCTGATGTGGAGGTGAGGTTTTCAAAACATTCGTGTTCCTCACAAAAGAGCCGTCTTTGCCTCTGTGCTCTTGGTGGACGTACTTAGTCCGTCCAATTGCATGAGCCGGAGGCAGCACCCCCGGGGTAATGTTTTTCCCTTTGAAGGCTTTCAGATGCTGAATGATCTCCTTGTTGGTTTTCAGGGGGAAGTCTTGCCCACAGGTGTTGATGGCGTACTTCCACGGGACCTCGGAGGCCACCAGGTCTCTCAGGCAGTTCAGGTCCGCCTGGAGCCTGGACATTCCCGCGTAGACTACAGACTCGGTCTTTGAAGCCAGAAAGGCATTTGGGAAGCAGCTCAGTAACTGCCACACAGATGCCTTAAACTCCACCGTGGCCTTCTCATCCACATGAACACAGTAGATGTTCTGGGGCATGTAGACAGCCCTGAAGAGCCGTTCAAAAGTACCAAAGTCTTTATGGATGACCATGACATATGCCAACGGGAACGCCACTTCTTCTTCCGACAGGGGGCTGGTGATGTAGTGGCTCTGGATCAGGTAGTCCTCGCAGGGGACGCTTCCCAAAGGCGATGGCAACGTCCTCTCCCAGAGAACAGCGGACTTCTCCTGCAGGGCGTCCTCACAGGCACTGACTACGGAGTCCCTTTCGCTGGAACCATTCAGCTTCCTCTGGGGCAGGCTTAATCGGCCGTTGTAACGTATCACAAACAGAACCACACTCAGCGCAGTGAAAGCAAAAAGGCAGTACCTCCAAAAGTTCATTATTTTCACTTCCTTAGAGCAGGGAATCTCCCTCCAGGGACTGAGAAATGGTCAGTCCCTGAAAACAGAAGCGTGAAGAGGCTGAATGGGCTTCCTTTGCCAGTCTTGAATATCGCCAGCTTCTCAGACGGGCTTCTTTTATTCATTTACTCCCCGCTTCAGTGTCGCGCCGTCCCCGGCGGTGGCGGGCGAGGGCATGCTTCTCCGGTCCTGGGCTCCTGGGCTCCGGTCCTGGGCGCTGGAGCCGGCCCGCCGCTCGCACGCAGAGCGCGGAGCAGAGTGGGCGCCCAGCCCGGCCCCGCCTGCGGGAAGCCCTCCTCGTTTGCATACGAAACCCAAGTGGCGGATCTCGGCAAATTACGCTGAGGAAAGGAATGACGGGTCCTTTGCCCCGGGGCTGGGCTTCTCTGCCTTCACCCCACCCCCTTTCCCTCCACCCTATTCTGACCTCATCTCCCTCCTCTTCTCACACTTTCCCCTTGCGTTTCAGCGTAAGTGGTTCTCCTCTTTCGGGTCAGCCTGCAAGCCGGCTAGCAGTCGTTGGAAACCCTAGCGTGGAGGACTCCTGCTCCGGCGTCTCTCTCTTCCCGTTTCTCGGCCACCTCTTTTCATTTCAGTGTTATCGCTACCTCTGAGCACACAGACACAGACACAGATAAGGAAAAGGCACTTGCAACATGTCTATTGTCAGCAGCAAGAAAGTCTGGTGGAGAGGTGGGTGTTGGCTGGATTGAATCCGATGGTTTCTGATGGTGTTACACAGCATATGTGCATGTGCAGGCTATCAGAAGAGGGAAGTGAGGATTACACGGCGGCGGGCATGGGGTGAGGGCAGAAGGAACCTAGGAGCGACTGGAAACATTAAAGTGTGGGTGCGGATGACATCAATGAAGAAAGCACACCTCCGTTCGCCTGCCAGAGAGGAAGGTGAGAGTCATTGTTCCCAGAGAGCAAAAGTTGGTTCCCATTTCACAAAGAGCTTCAGATAGCTGGTGCTGTTGACGCGGTATTATCTACAACATGAGTGACTGCCCACTGGGGCTCTTTATAAGCCTGACATCTTGAGATCTGAGGGCATTTCAGAGAACTCCAAGGATTCTACTCCCCACCCAAGGCCCTCTCCCATTTCCTGACCCTTAAGAAAGAACAAAGGCTGCTGGACGGCAGGAAAATTCCTGGAAGTATTGGTTAGTGAGATTCAGGGGAGCCAGGAAGAGAAGCCCAGCAGGTCTGGTCACATTACAGAGGGGTTCTCCAAGCTCACGTGCTGGTGCCTGGAGCCTCAGCAGGTGTGGAGGGCGGGCTGCAGATTGGTGCAGTTGGTAAGAATGCTCCTGGGCCAGGTAACCAGCCCAACTAAAGAAATAGTGGGTGTGCTCCCATCTCATTCCCCCAGTCACCCAGCTAGCCCTCCTGTCTGGTCCTGGTGTGGCAATTGAAGCAGCTGCCCCTGTTAGGAAAACACCTGGTGTACAATGCAACAATCTTCCTGCCCCTTCCTATCCCACACCACTCTCTAACTTCCTATCATTTCCTGGATGAATGAATGGCCACAGTAGCATAGATATGATGGATTTTGATTGGACATAGACCCAAAGAGTTGGCAGGGATCTTAAAAATCACCTAACACAACCCTTTATTTTACAGATGAGGAAAGTAAGGCCAATACTATATACTAGAGGCCCAATGCACAAAATTCGTGCAAGAGTAGGTCTTCCTTCCCCCAGCTGCTGGCACTGGCTTCCCTCTGGCTGATGGCAGGCACCTGGGACCCAGGCTTCCCTTGCAGCCCTGGCTTTGTCCAGAAGGCCGTCAGGAAAGATGTCCGGAAGGACATCTGGTCTAATTAGCACATTATGCTTTTATTATTATAGATATTTTTTCTAAGTCATTCAGCTGGATAGAAGCCAGCGCCTTAATTCTGAAGTTCCCTAGTCCAGATGCTGGAGCCAGTCTAATTGGCTTCAAATCCCAGCTGGTCACAGACCAGCTATGCAACCAGGGTGAAGTTACGTAGCCTCTCTAAGCGCCAGGTTCTTCAGATGGTGTCACAGGGTGTGGGACTGAGCCATGGAAAGGGTTACAAAATGTTACAGAATGTGCTAAGAGGAGGAAAGGAAACATGAGAAACTGAATGTACTGGGAGGGGGGACTGACGTATGGAGAGGAATTGTGTAGGATTGTGTCAGGGTCAGAGAGCATGGAAGAAAAATTGCTAGATTGTCTTAGAAAAACAATATGTTATGATACGTTCCAACCAGGTGTGACTCTGTTTACCTCCTCTCCGTTCTCATGAACTTTTTGTGAACTTCTAATGAAATGCTTTGTATTTTTTTTAACACTGTTTTGGTATAAAGGATCATACTGCACCCTTGGTCGCTGCCACATGCTGCGAGGCTTCCCAGAGGGGGAAAGTACAGGCTGTGGTCAGCTGGCCAGCTTAATAAAGGCTCTCAAATTTAAATTCTGAGTCGGTGGTCTATCTCGTTGAGCCAACCCATAACAATGGAAAATAGCAGTGGTTGCTATTTCACATGGTTGAGAACATTAAATGAGATAACTCTTATTCAGGGTTTATGTATATATTCACATATATTCTATTCAATAAGCATTAACAATTTTTGCTGCTGTCGTTTTCTTTTGAAAAATAGCCATTTCTTGCCCTGTTAATGAACAGATATTTTGATTTCTGTTCTTACTAATGGAACAGAAAAACACCTTCTTAAGGCTTTCAAATGGGTTGAAATGGGTACTCCCACTCAAAAAGAATGAAGGTTAAATTTCACTCTTTTCCTCCCTCACCACTATCCCCACCCCCACCCAGGGGGTAGGGGAGGGAATTAGTAGGAATGTGACTAGATAAAGGGCAGAACTGAATAATCCATTTTGATGCTTTCATTTTCCTTCATTCTTATTAGAGCCGCACCCTTTTCTGCAAAATACTTCCTTGGCAGGACTTGTGGAGAGCAAGGGTGGGGGTGGGGTGGGGAGTAAGGCAAAGGGCTTTCAGAGAGGAAGGGAGAGAGATAGAAACATCGATTTAGCTACCTCCTGCACACCCCCTACTGGGGATGTGCCCGCAACCAAGGTACATGCCCTTGACTGGAATCGAACCTGGGACCCTTCAGTGCACAGGCTGACGCTGTATCCACTGAGCCAAACGGGTCAGGGCTAAAGGGCTTTCAATGAAGGCTGTTGTTTCCCCCCTCTCTTTGCCTTGAGCCTTGGTCCTACAGTAGGGAGCTCTCGAGAATGCCAACGCAAAGCAAACTCAACCCATCTTTACTCATGACTGAGTCACAGCACATTGCAGGTGGGAGTGTAACATCACTTACATTCAAAACAGCAGTAATTTTTTAAAAAAGCTTATAGTTTGTCCTGCCTTATTTACAGTGGTTTAGTTAAACAACCCGAGGTTAGAGCGTGATGCCTTTTTAGCAGCTGGCCTGGTAGGTGGTTTGTTTTACCTGTTATCTGTGGTAACTGAGCAGGCATTGTCTTCCAGCAAATAATTGGTGGGCTCAAATATTAACTTCCAACCAGGACATTATTTCTGCTCTTTTCACTTTAGTTGCTTAACATATTGAAAAGTGCTGTCAGGTGGACATTTTGTAACACTCCCTGCCTCTCTCAACCTCAGGATAACCTTATCGTCAGGAACAAGGACAAGGACAGCAACTAACAATGCACAGTCAGCTCAGCTCAAACAAAGGCTGGGCTGCCTGGGGACTTTCTGAGAACCCAGTGGGATCTTTGTTCTCTTTAGTCACTTAGCTCTCATTAACCTCCCGTGAGCTGTGCACCCACCTCAGCTGGGCTATCACAGGCAAATTGATTGCTGGTTGTTGGGGAGCAGGGTTGGGAGCCAGGCCTGACTTGTTCCCAAGTCCTTATAGTTCTCTACCTCACATTGCTTCTCTTGGCATAATAACCGGCCACGGAATCAAAGCAATGCTTCTGATGGGTCCTCTCCTCTCCATTGACTTCACGCCATTCTGTTCCCCGTCTGAGGCTCTGTTGCATCTCTCTGGCAACCTCAAACACTGGCCACAAGCGAGACACAACAAGTAAATAAGATCTCCCAGCAACCAAAACAATGATCACACGCTGTAGGCTGGATGCACACACTCAGATGTGTACAGGCAGGTAAGATACAAAAGTAAGTAAAGTTGATTGGAGGGAAGGAAAAACAGAGCTAGTGAGTTCACCAGTGGGAGCTAATGCTTGGCCATGGTGTCATGGACCTAGAGAGAGGTTGGGACCCTGGCGAAGAGACGGTGGGGCCCCTGGTGAAGAGCTGTGCCCACCTAAAGCACGCAGCTCCCTCTCAACGCTAGCGATTAATCCATGCTGCACCATGGGGCCAATGCTACCAGCTCTTTGGATATTTTAAGAGAAGTGAGAAATTTGAATTTTATTTTTTAAAATTCCCAAATTCTTTAAATGACATCAAGATATTAACAAAATGTTAAAATATAAGTGCATGCACACACATGCACCACTGGCCCCCGGGATGCCAGTTCATCGTCTCTGGTTAAAGCACCAAAGGCTTAAACCAATCTTGAGGCTCAGCCTATTTACTCTTCATTTAGAGCAGTGGGTCACCTGTGGGTCACGACCCCTTTGAGGGTCGAACGACCCTTTCACAGGAGTCGCCTAAGATACATCGAAAAACACATATATAATTACATATTGTTTTTGTGGTTAATCACTATGCTTTAATTATGTTCAATTTGTAACAATGAAATTGGGGGTCACCACAACATGAGGAACTGTGTTGTAAATGTTTCCCTCCACGTCCCGCGTGGTTCAGGGTTCAGGATCTGGAAGAGGAGCCGCACACAAATGAAAGAGAAGAGACAAGAGATAATTTGGAAATATTGGGGGGCCAGGCGGGTAACTCCAACTCAAGAGGAAGGACTTCCACTGGTGCTCAGGCCGCACCAACCTTTTATTGGTTTGGGATCCACCCATAGTATAGCCCTTAGGCAGGCAAGTTCCGGTAACAGACAGACTATCTTATCAATAAGGATTTACATGAGTAAATGTGGGGAAGTTGCTTCAGCTACCATTATCTGGATTAACAGAGGTGGTGCACAGCTCTGACTTTTGCTAGGGCTTCAAAGGTCACCAGCCTTCCAGTTTCTCTGTCTACACTTCTCTGCCAGTGAAGACAATAGGCGGTTTCCCACAGAACTGTATTAAAGGGTCGTGGCATTAAGAAGGTTGAGAACCACTGGCTTAGAGAAACCTTAAACTTTCTCAGACCTAAGCAGGCAAGAAGTCACAGATTAGAAGAGGGATGTAGAACTGGTAGACTCAGGCACCCTGTTGTCAGCAATAGGTGATGGACTGAGAATGAAGTAGGCCCAAGAAAAACTCCACAAGCAGATC